TCGAGAATTAGAACACGATCCTCACTACAGAAGCTGTCTAAGGATGCTGCCTCCTTCTGTTGTTTGGTCAGGGGGTCGTTCAAGCGAAAGTGGTCGCCCGCCCAAAAAATCGCTGCCTGCAATAATAATCAAAAGGTTGCTGATGAAAAGGTTTGTAAAATGCTACCGGATTCAGCCTCGACCTCCTTCTTTGTTGGGAGGTCCCCAGCAAAGGAGGCACAGTAGCTCACTATGATCGGGAAGTTGAACTCAGTAGTCACCTGCTCAAGGTTAAGCAAAACCCTTTCTCGTAAGAAGGATTAGGTAGGATTCCCGCCTGTTCCTCGGCAATCGTGGCGCTCGTCACACGGAGGAAGCGGTAGCGAAAGGGCTCCTGCACCAAAGCTTGAATAATAGACGGCTTTGTTGGTTTGAACAGGAACCGCGCCTCCGAGGCCTTGTTTTGCTTCTTGATCGCCTTCTTCAGGATTTCTATCCTTTGGTTCACATAACCGGGCTTCAGGAGGTCTTGGAGCCACTCTTTCAACAGGTTTACCCTCCTCTCATTGGGCTTCGAGTCTGGCATTTTGCCAAACTTCCCAATGCTTGAGTTGAAAATTTAGCGGGAATTTGTGTTTCTCCAGAACAGAGCAAAAACCAGCAGGGAGGAGCACAGGGGCACAGGGCCTTCTTCAGAAGCTCCTTCTTCAACAAGACCTGGGTCAGGAGGAAAACAGGAAGGACAATTCCAACCATCGTGATTCCCAAATTGAAAAGATCGGGGCCACACGGCTCCGAAGAGCTTTGTTGCATCGCACCACCGGCATTGTAGATACCTCATCAGCCGTTTGTTAATCTTGTTTGCGTGTTGACAAACCAGAGAAACTCCTGAGATGCACACCAGCCAAATCGCCCAAAGGAAAGGAGCAAGCATGAGTCACCAGGCTGGAGGTCAATGAGGTCTTGGACCCACTAGGCTTAACTATGGGCTTTGCGGCCCCCGAATCACGCCTGCATGTTTTGCTTATGGTCTCGTTATTTTGTCTTTGCCGGACAATGCATGATCTAAATGAAACCTTGATCCACGGCGAACAGCCAACGACACGTCCAGCGAGTTATCTCGAATCTTTCCCAAATCGTGAAGCACTGGTTGATAAGCCCCAGTTTCCCGGGTGCGCGGAAGTTCAGGGTGTATATATATATATATTTGTATTTTCACATAGTCAGACATATACACACATCATGTATGTATGCGATTCGGTATGATCATGTATGCTTGTGTATGGTTATGCATGGTAGGCATGGATTCTTGATGAATGTTTGCGTGTTTGCGGGAATGAACGACTGAATGGATGAATGAATGAATGAATGAATGAATAAATGAATGAATGCCCGCGTGTCTGTATGTCTGTATGCCGGTATGTCTGTATGTCTGTGTGCACGCGTGCATGCACTACTTATCTATCTATCTATCTACCTATCTTTCTAGCTGGCTAACTATCTGTCTATCTACCCATTTCTACCATCCAGCCAGCTACCTATCTATATCTATCTATCTACCTACCTACCTACCTGCCTATCTATCTGTCTACCTACCTATCGAACCTATCGATCTATCTGTCTATCCTGTCAATCACTCTACCTGTCTATCACTCTTTCAGCCTATCTATCTGTCCATCTACCTATCCTTTTTAACTAGCTATCCACGTGCATTGACTGATAGTCTGAATTGCCACACCGTGTAAGCCGTGAAGAACACGAGCTAGATATGAATGATGTTTCAAAGCTGTTTCCGCGAATGTTGCACGTGGGCGTTGCGGATGCTGCCCACCGAGTCGATGCTGTTTCTCAGGAAGAAGGAGTTGACCTGCAACTCCTCTGCACTTCAGCTCTCGCCAGCTTTCCTTCTTGTAGACTTTGGCGTGCGACGCGCAAGGGTTGGAATTGCGTTTGAAGGGATTCCTGTGCAGATGCTGAGGCTTCAAGCCTGGGCAAAGCGAGCCTTCGGCAGCGACAGCGACGAAATTCTGAGAGGCGCAGCGCCGGGCTCCGTGTCCGCCGACTTGACGTGGCCCGAGAAACTGTTGTGTCAGGCGATCGGCGGCTCGTCCTAGTCCTGGACGGCCTGGACGAAGCCGCCATCGCCCGCCGGCGGATACTCGACTGGCTCCGGCAGTGGCTCCAGCTCTTCGGCCAGCAATTTTGCATTGAATTGTTAGAGCATGCAAGCTGCCTGTCGTCAACGCTCCGGCCCAGGGCAAACGGCCACCGATGCGTCTGCACCATCATCGCTTCTCGGCCGTCCGGCACCAATCAGCCCGGATCCCAGCGAGCCTTTACAAGGCCAAAAAGGATTCGGAACTTTCATGCGGCTCTCGATTCTGAGGGTGCTGGCCAGCGATGGCAGCGCTCGCGAGCCGGCGGCATCCGTGGTCCTCGGCCAGTTCTCCGAGACGTCGCTGCTGACCCAGGCAGGCCGGCAAGCTGCGACTGACTGCGGCGTGCGAACTTCAAGCGGCATCACATCCATTTGGCGCATCAGCTGCCGCAGTGGGCATCTTTGCATCATTTCCGCTGTCGTTTCCACGCTTGCAGCTCAATGCGTCTCTGCACGGGCACGCCCCAGCGCTTTCACGCCTTGAGCCGAACCGTCGCAGGAGCCGCTGCCGGTCTCCTCCCACGTTCGCCTGCACGACGACACGGGGCAAAGCCTGGGAGCTGCCACCGTCCTCTCCTGCGACAAGGCGCCGCGGGCACAGCGGAGAAAGCCGCGCTCCCCAGAGTCGTCGGCAGAGAGCTTTTTGGGCACTGGCCAGGGCTTTCTGCTTCTGAAGAAGGAGGAGAACGGCCCGGAGCCCGGGGTGCACTTCCTGAAGGTGCGCCGGAAGGCCCACGTGCACACCTTGCAAAATGAGCTGTAGCTTGAGAAATACCGTCACTTGAGAGTGGTGGCTCTGCCCGACAGGGTCCGAAGACTGTCTTCTCCGACGTGGTGTCCCTGGACTACGCCGAGCGCTTCAGTGCCCAGGTGATGCTGGAGCGGGCCTTGCGAACGCCGTTTCCTCGCTTGGTGGCCCGCCGGGCCGACGGCGAGGTCTGGGAGGACCGAGAGGGCGGGCCGCTCCCTGCGCTGGGAGCCGTCGGGGCGTTGTCGTGCGACTTGCTAGGACAGCAGTCACCTCGGGGGCATCAAGTACGGCCAGATGCTGACGTGGCCCAAAGGCGCCTTTCCCTGCCGCGCCATCCTGAAGACCGACGAAGACGAAGCCGCGCCCGACGACCGCAAAGTCGAAGACGTGCAAGTGCGCAGGCCTCAGATCGAGTGCGCTCAGCCAGCACTCGCTTTCGCCTTTTTTTCCGCACAAAGTAGATCAGCGACAAAGTCTAGGAGCTTCCGTGAGACGTCGGCCGGGATCTTCCTGGAGGGTGACCTGGAGCCAGGCCAGGCCGCTTGCGCTCGCTCTCTCTCTCTCGCTCTCTCGCTCTCTCTCAATCAAGCGCGGCTCTCTTGCTGCTTGTTTCCCTGCTTGCTGAGGCGACGAGGTCGAGCTCGGGAGCGATGGGCCACGGAGAGAACTCCTGCCTCTCGACCGCCTCTCGGCGAAAACTTGGACCGCGCTGCCGTCGCATGCTTCTGTGCGCAGATGTGCGGCTGCTCAGGTTGCTTCCGGGTGGTCCTGGACGCGGAGGTCCCACGCTGCCCGGCGAGTCTGGCAGAGATGACGGTGCAGGATGAGCTCTCTCTGCAGCCCTGGCCTTGGCTGTTGTGGAGCGCGAGCTTCGGAGAGCTCCGTGCACAAGGCTCGGCTTCGCCCCGCTGGAGATCCTGCCGCTCAGTCCTCCCGCGGCCTCGAGGCCCCCCAACTCGGCGAGGTGGCAGGAAATCTTCGAAGCACGTGGCCCTCGTTTTGCAGCTTTGCAGGATCTCGAAGTTCGGCGAGGAGGAGCTGCGAGCGCTCCCCGAAGCGGCCCCTCGACTCAGCAGATCGTCAGGAATGCGATGTCACATGTACTTAGCGGGGCCGCTGGGCACCGCAGTATCGCCGTCTCATTTCTTGCGTGCCACCAGAAATTTCCCAGATTTTCCCAATGCAGGTTTGGCAGACGCCCCTGATGGCCAGCATTCTGGGCCTAGCCCCCATTCAGCTGCGCAGAGTCTGGAGCAGGGGGCAGGGCGGCGGGGGGGCGGAGGTTTCTACACTGACACCTTGAATTTTACATGTAACATCCATGCTGGTCGTCCATGCTATAAGACTGGCGCAAGCCCGGCAGAGGCACGTATCCTCGGCGCCAGAAGGACCGAAGCATCAAATGCATCTGCTCTCTGGCTTCTGATTCCCTGCCTCTCCCTTTCCCGCCCTCTCTCCAGTTTGCAGGCAGAGAGTAGAATCAGTACGCACATCACGTTGCTGACTGCATGACTGCAGGAGGAAGAGCTCGACGGCGCCACGGCAGAGCTGTTGCTGATGGAGCACGCGGTGGCAACGCTGCTGAAGCAGGCGAGTCCATGTAACGGTACAGACTCGTGCGAATCTGTCGCAACCATGCAGACGCTATTTCTGGATTGGTGCAAGTCTGATAATTCTGCCGGTGTTTCGGCAGAGCCAGGCAGAGGAGCGGACCGGCTGCAAGGAGCTGCGAGGAGAGCTGGGCCCGCTGTGCTTGGCCAAGCTCCAGGCAACTCGCCCGGGCACCCGCAAAGAACTTTCAGGAATCCGCTTGTGCTCTCGCTGCAGGCGGGCCAGCGGCTGCTGTGGGAGTCGGACTTCACCAGCAAGGCAGGAACTGCACGAGCGCCCATGGGTGACTGCTTCTCAGGTGTTGCAGGGCCTGCGTGAGTCCCAAGTAAATAGATAGAATGATGCCCATGCTTGTTCACACAATGTCTTGTCAGGTGGCTGCAACACATGATAATTAGAACACCAGCACAAAAATGTATGCGACTCTTCCTGTTGGCCATCTGCGGTGTGCTGCGGTCGCAACTGGAACCCATCAGGCATGCACAGCTGACACGGTTTATGTGCTGTTTCGCTGACGCCCTGCTTTTGCATCCAGGTGGTCTTCCAGGAAGCGCAGCTCGGGCACTTGAGATTCTTCGAGCCGGCTGGCCAAGCGGTGGCGCAAACCGTGCTTGGAGATTCATCGGGTCAGAAGTTCGAAATGGTTCGCACCCTTTGCCAGGTGCAGCTGTACCACCTGCGAATGCAAGAGTTCCTGGCCGCAGAGGCGCCGCGCGGAGATCGTGCCCGTGAGCGCTATTGCTATTGTTATTCTGGGTAGACCTTGTGATTTTGCGAGTGATTAATTATATACATAGATTGAACCGCGGCTGACAGGCCCGGTTGGCAGGTGCCCAGGCGCCGGCCTGGAGAGAAGCCTTCGCCGAAGCGCAGGAGCAGCCGATGTTGCGAGGCCTGCACATCGTCAGATCTGCGTGGTCACAGTACACCCACGGAGACAGAGACCCCATGTGCCTTCAGCTCCGGTCTCCCACAGGTGCCCTCCGCTTCTGCCTGATGATGAAGACGGCCCATGCGGCGGAGGCAGAGATCGACCTTGAAAAAACAAAGTTGGTCGCCGGGGACGCGGAGGCGTTCCAAGGACTTCTTGCGCATAGGCGAGAATGCGAGCTGCCTGTGCCGTGGTCGCCGCGCGAGTCGGCTTCTTTCCGGAGGAGCCTTGCTGTGCACCGAGAAGCTGGCGCTCAACTTGGGTGAAAACCACCTGGGTGAGGGACCCGGACTTCGCGGGGTCGGATGTGTTGTCATAATTTGCGGACCAAATTTGTGAGCTTGCAGAGGCGGTGTAAAGCCCGACCAGCCAGCGGAATGAATCCGTTTCAACGGGGTTTGACAGCTAATGGCCTAGCTGACTCCGGGGGCTTCTGCTCCAGTGGTTTCAGTGCGAGGCCCCGAGGGCGCCAGCAGCCTGTCCTCTGCGCTGCCCAAACGGCTCCGACAGCTGCGGCTGGACCTGAAGGAGAACAGCATCGGCCGGGGATCCCAGCGGGGTTCCTCGGATGGCCAGGAAGGTTGCTCCGGCCGTGCAAGAGCTTGATCACCTTCTTGTTGATTCCTGTGAGAGTTCGTGGGCCAAACGTCTCCTGCCCGCAGCACAGCTTCGATCCAAAGAAACGGCTCCCCCGAAAAAACACCATGTGCTGTTGCGACTGTCAGCTGTTGCGACCTGCAAGGCCTGTACAGATCTCGTGTGCCTGGCTTCAGCCACAACAATTCGTGAAGATTCGCAGGATTTCACAGGCGTCCAAGGCTTCAACACTCCCCCGTTGGGAAGTGCATGTCCTTTGTAAGCAGGTAAGGGCGCCGACTCCCTGACACCTTGCGGCGCCCAACTTTGTTCGGTTCTTGTGAGAGTTCGTAGGCACCCCACTCCTGCCCGCAGCACAGCTCCGATCCAAAGCAACGGCTCCACTCTGACAAAAGAGCTTATGTGAATTTCCTTTTGCGACTGTCTGCTGTTGCGACCTGCAAGGCCTGCCCGGACTCCTCAAAACCAACTTTGGGTGTCTTTGCTGTCTTCCGCCAGCTCTCGTCGTACCGATTTCCTGCGACTCCCACTTGACAGAGAAACTGGGAGTCCTCGACGGGCCGCTCTGCCAGAGTTCTTCCGTGAGACCGCAGATCTGTAGCAGAGTCAGTGGGGGGCAGGATGGGGTGGGGCAGTCGGATTGTATCAGCAGGGTTCGGAGGCTCAGACCGGACTTTCGCTGCAGGTACCCCGCACGTTTCCAGGACCGTAACTTATTTTGTGAGATGATTCACGATGCTAGCTTCGCACTCTCTCTTCGTTGATGCGCCAACTCTTGCAAGTTCTCATGTGATGCTCCCGCCAAGCCTGTTGCAAAGACTGCTGCGCATGTCTTCGATGCATGGAGCTGCTACATACAGTTCATGTGTAGGGATTGGCTCTTGCAGCGGATGCGAGCCCATTCCGAAAAAGCGAGCCAAGCGATGCCACGTCCCTCCGAGGCGCCGAGGGGGCCCAAGCCTGGGCCGCTGCCATCGCCAAGCTGCCCCTCCGGAAGCTGGAGCTGCGGCTAGATTACAACTCGCTGGGCCCGGGGGCCCAGGTGTTCTGCGACCGTCAGGTCTTTGGGACTCCAGGTCTGTCAGCATCCTTCTGAAGACACGTCTATGACCTTTCCTGACTGCTTCGCACCGTTTCGTCTGAAGCCTAAACTGGTGGAAAAACCAGCTCTTCCGGAAAGTCCGGCGACGCTGCACGGGTTTCTGTCTCCTGCTG